GAATTTCAGGAGGAAGTCAGCTGAATTTTACAGTCTTTCAGCTTGTGAAATGAATTTGACAGTTCTCTGCAACAGCTAAGGACTGGCGTGGTGGTAGGGCTGAGACAGCAGCACGCACTCACAGGCTCCCTCCTCCTGCACCGCTTCCTCCCTTTGTGCCGCACCAGCCGCATGGAAAATGGTCCAGGGCAAAATTCGCTAAAGCATTCACATCTTTTCCAACAAACAACACAGGCACTTAGTCCCATATCCACCAAGGCGTCTAGGCTCTCAGGTCCTCTCTGTTTCAGTGGAGCACCACACACCTAGAGGCCTTTGTGGACCTGGGTCTTAAGAGCATAATCGCATACAACAATTGATATGAATCAGGAGTCTTAGGCACTTTTGAAAATTTTACCTCAGTTAATCTTGGCCAAGGACACCAAAACCCTGAAGTTACTAGGATCTATTAAGGCAGAGTTCAAAATGGTTCTGTCCCACTTCTTCCCTAAAGTATGGTTGGTATATTTGTACTTAGTACCTTAGGGATAAAAAGCTATCATTGCATTCAGAAGCATTAAAAACTTTTAATGTTTTAAATGATTCTGAAATCCTATGAATCTTGTGGCAGTGACAATGTTTACACGTTTGCTCATTCAGCACCTGGCAGAGAGGAACTCAGCCCTGACTAGCAAAGTGGGATACACCAAAATCTAGCAGAATACAGTCAATGAGGGAATGAAGTCCTCGTGGCATGGATTTGCCATTCTGACTTTAATCAAAACAGGCATCCAAGGTGGAAGAGAATTCACATTTTAGCAAAAAGACTAAACATGACACCATTTTTGATTCAGTCTATATTTGGAAAAAGTCAACGTGAAAAGGATTTTACAGAACTTTCCTAATTCACACAGTTTACTTTAGAGGCTCACTAGAGATTTATTTTACTCTTGATGAAATTCAGCACCCTTCCGTTAGCAAAGGCAAAACATGAAAGTAGTTGCTAACGAGCTTGGTTCTGGGACCTCGGCACCATGCTCTTAGCTCCTACTTAAATCAG